AAAAAAAAAAAAATCAATAAAACATATTAAAAAATTTTAAACTCCATTAAGGGACATAAGAAGACCAGAATATATGTCACAATTAGAATAATCTCAGTACTGTAAAGGATTTATTAATTTTTTAAACAAATATTTAGAGTGACAACCATAGGATAGGCATTGTTTTGGGTGGTAGGGATACAGCAGAGAACAAATTGCCTATCATCATGAATCTCACATTCTGATAGAAAAGCAGGGAATAAATAATCTAAAGTCATTTAGTGGCAAAAGCTATGAAAAAGATCAAATAAGATAAAGAGTGATGGGGAGTGAGGGTACTACTTAAGATGATTAGGGAAGGCCTCTCTGACATGTTAGCAGAGACCTGAAAGAGATGAAGCAAGCCTACCATGCTGAATTCTGGGAAGGCATGTTCCAGTCAGAGATGCCAGTTCTCCCCCAAGTTAATCTATACCGTCATAATAAAATTCCAATGATAATGTTGAGAAACTAAAACTGACTCTACGATGAATGTGAAAGAATAAAAGGCCTATGAAAGCCAGGTCTGTTTTGAGGGGAAAACAAAAGTAGGGATACCTGTCCTACTGGCAGAACTGGCTCTACCACAAAGCCACAGTAATCAAAACATTTAGTTGCTGGCACTGACACAAAGAAAAAGACCAGTGGAACAGATTGGAGAGCTTAGAAATTAAGTACAGACGTTGATTGTACAGACAAAGGTGGCATCACAAAGCACTGAAAAAATTGTTTTTCAGAGGTGATAGAAAAAGGAATTCACCATATGGGGAAAATAGCTGGATTTTTACTCAAAACCATGTTACAGGTAGACTCCAGGTGGATTAAGTACCAAAATGTGAAAGTTAAATAAAGCTAATATAGGAACATATATATTACTTAGGAGTAAATATAGACTTCCTAAACAAGACCCTAAACTATAAGGCCAAACTTTAGGACATCTGCTTAATTAATGACATCACAAAGTTAACATTAAGGAAGGTGACATAAGGAAGGGAGACAGTATTTGCAATGTTTAATATAAACACAGAATAATGTCTAGAAAATACACAATTCCTGCAAACCAACCAGGCAGGCAATCAAACAGAAAAAAATAGGCAAGGACATAAATAGATACTGGGAGGAAGTATTTGCATTGTTTAAAATTAACAAAGGATTAATGTCTAGAATATACCAAGGATTACTACAAATCAAGACAAGAAAGCAAATTAAAAAAAAAAAGCAAAGGTTATAGATATCTTAGTTTCACATAGTAAGTAGTCTATACAATTTCATATGTTAAAAAAGTACAGGAAAAAAGGCTCTAATTTCATTGTAATCAGAGAAATGCAAATCAAACAACCAAGAGCGTTAGGGTGGTTGAAATGGATGAAGGGGATCAGAAGTACAAAATAAATAAATCACATGGATATAATATACCACTATAGTCAATAACATTATATTATTAACTTCATATAATGACAGAGGGTATCTAGACCTATGGTATGATCATTGTGCAATGTATAGAAATATCAAATCATGATGCTGTACACCAGAAACCAACATAATGTTGTATGTCAATTATCCTATATAATAAAAGGCTAATATGCAAATCAACCGAATGGCAGAACAACTGGTCGCTGTGCTGCGCACTGACCAGCAGGGGACACTCAGTGCAGGAGCTGTCCCCTGGTGGTCATGCACTCCCACAGGGGAAGCACTGCCCATCCAGAAGCTGGGCTCGCAGCAGGGCTAAGGACCCTTCGGGGGGATGTCCGACTGTCAGTTTAGGCTCGCTCCCCAGGGACATCCCCCCTGAGGGGTCCCAGACTGTGAGAAGGTATAGCCGGACTAAGGGACCCTCCTGCCCAGTACACAAATGTCATGCACCGGGCCTCTAGTACTTTAATAAAACACAAAAAAATAAAAACATGAAAGCAAAAAATAAGATATACCACTTTCCATCCATCAAACTGACAAAAATGAGGAGGATGAATAACACCAAAGATTGGTGAGGATGTTGATATGAGTTCTTGTGCACTGGCAATAATCTATAATAATAAAAGCATAATATGCTAATTAGATTGGACAGCCGAATAACCTTCCAGACGTCAACCTTCCAAACGAAGCCGTGGCAGAGGTGATTAGGGGCGATCAGGCAGGCAAGCAGGCAGGCAGGCAGGCGAGTAGTTAGGAGCCAGGGGTCCCTGATTGTGAGAGGGATGTGACTGCTGGTTTAGGTCCAATCCTGCCGGCAGTCAGACATCCCCCAAGGGGCCTCAGATTGTGAGAGGTGGCAGGCCGGGCTGAGAATCCCCCATCCTCCATGCATGTTTTTTTTTTTTTTTTGCACTGGGCCTCTATTCGTACAACTATTCTTAAAAGTAATCTGGCAATATCTGGCAAAAATTAAACATGCCCATAGATATATGGCTCAGAGGAATATTCACACAATTATAAATTTGCAATGTTAGCAATTTTTTATGGTAATAGAGGTGAAGATAATCTGGTTTCTATCTTCAAGCGACTAAAACATGTTGAACCCACAGTGGTTATATTCCTGAATTCTGGAGTGAGGCTGCCTGAGTTGAAATTCAGGCTCCACCACTTAATAGTTCTGACTTTGAATAATGGAAGTAGATAATTTTATTAACCAATGTCACCAAATACAATAAAAAAATGGAAGTAGAAAGTTTAAGTAACCTCTGTGTCTCACTCTCGTCTATAAAATGAGAGTAATTATCTACCTAATATGGTGGTGGTGAGAAATATATGAGTTAAAACATTTAAAGCACCTACTATAGTGGCAAACTGAGGGATAAGCAGAATTATAATTTATCCATATGTAGCTCAGCTGGGGGGTTGTCTAAATGGAGGTCCCAAAAGAAAATAAAAAATCTGAGTAACCTACTGTTTTTAGCAAACCAAACTCTCTCCAGTGTATTAAAAACTCTGTAAGCCCTGGCCAATGTGGCTCAGTTGGTTGAGTATTGTCCAGCGCACTGGTTCAATACCTAGTCAGGGCACATATACCCAGATTTCAAGTTTGTGTACAGGAGGCACCTGATCAATGTCTCTCTCTCAGAGGCAACCAATAGTTTCTCACATCGATGTTTCTCTCTCTCTCAAATCAATAAAAACATATTTTACAAAAACAACTCTGTAGGTATTAAAATGATCAACATTTATCCAACTAAGATGTTACTCTAAAAGAATCCATTAAAAGTCAAATAAGTTGGGTAAAAATTACATAAAATATTTTTACAAATTAATAAAGATGAGCAATGAAGAAAGGGAATTTACCTAAGAAAAAAATGCCCAGTAAAGATAAAAATGTAAACCTCATTGATGAATACTTTGAAAACTATGATTTCATAGCCACACCCAGTTTTGCCAGCAGTGTTGGAAACCTCATTTACAGCTGGTAGGAGTGGAAACCTGGACATTTCTGGAAAGCATTTGGCAATGCATGGCAGAAGTCTTAAAATAGTGCATTTAGCCTAGCCAGTGTGGCTCAGTGGTTGAGCATCAACTTATGGACCAGGAGGTCACAGTTGGATTCCCGAGCAGGGCACATGCCCGGGTTGCAAGCTCAATCCTATTTTTTTTTTTTTTTAAATAGTGCATGTTGTGCATACTCTTAGACTCAGCAGTTCCCTAGAATTTAAAAAATAATCATAGATGGCAACAAAGATTTAGTTAAAAGCACTAGCATTGCAGGACTGTTTAGAAAAGCAAAGCATTGGGATCAAACTAAAAATCCCAAAGTAGGGGAATCAATATAGTTATGGAAAAACCATGTGATAGGATATGAATAGCAATCAGAATTCTTCAATATTTAAATATCTGCTCTGCTGATTAGTATCTGTATAGCTCAGGGAAAGCTAGTTAATCTCTTTGCACTTCAGTGTCCCTGTTTACAAAATAAGTTTAATGTGAAGATTAATTAACATACATAAAACACTTAGGATAGCGCTGACATATATAAGAACTCAATAAATGAGCTTTGTGTTTGTTTTTATAGAAAGACACTGTAGCCTAATATCCTAGAAAGATGTTAATAATTAAACAAAAAAGGTTACAAGCCAGTATGTACAGATTATTTTTATAAAATAAATGTATCTCATATACAAAAATTTACAAAAATAAAGACTAGGAAGATATAGTATTCCATAATAGAAATAGTACATTTCTTTGAATAATAAGATTACAGGTTATTTTTCTTATTTTTATATTTAAAATTTTTTCAACAGCCGAAACCGGTTTGGCTCAATGGATAGAGCGTCGGCTTGGGGACTGAAGGGACCCGGGTTCGATTCCGGTCAAGGGCATGTACCTTGGTTGCGGGCATATCCCCAGTGGGGGGTGTGCAAGAGGCAGCTGATCGATGACTCTCTCTCATCGATGTTTCTAGCTCTATATCTCTCTCTCCCTTCCTCTCTGTACAAAATCAATAAAATATATTTAAAAAAAAAAAATAAAATAAAATAAAATTTTTTCAACAGCAAAGACATGCTTTTATGAGAGGTAAAAATAACCATCTGTACCAAAATTAAAACTTAAAACTGTCAGTTTTTTAACTCCAAATAGTAATGGATCCGTCCCAAGCTAGCAGAGTAATTGGGTAGAGTCAGAAATACAGACATTTCCCTCCATAGCCTTTCTTACCACATAATCTGAGCTCAGTCTTATTTTACAAACCTTACACATAAATGGCAAAAACAACTAAGAGATATTTCTTTCTGGAAGTTAATTCATTCTCATTTCCTCTCTTTATGCAGAAGGATTAAATAGATTCTCCATGTTTTCCTGAGCCTTTCATTTAGAATGGCTGTCACCAAAATGAACTTGCCACATGAGGAAAACAGAAAAGAACCAATTAAGTTTTTACTGTCCTCCTTCCTGAGGGAAGAATGCCTGGCTGGCAGTAGTGAAATGGGACCATTAAAATGTCTTTTTTTGTAACAGGGGAAGATAGGCCCCAATGGTGGACAGATTGTCTTAAGTCACATGAGCCGTTTGGGGTCGATTTTCTCTAGGTGAACCAGAGGTTTTAGCTGCTCTGCAAAGTTCCTCATGTCATCAGAGACCATGTCCTGCCCGGCTGGTGCAACAACACTCAGTTCCACAAGGTAGGAGAGTGACAAGGCCTCCGTGCTGTCTGTGCTTCCGGGCACCAGGATGCGGAAGATCTTGTACACCATAATCTTCATGATGCCCTTCCGGAACAGGTGTCCCTTGGCGACAAACTCGTGGTCCATGCGGAAGCCCATCTCCATCAGGAAGTCAGTGAGGTTCTCAGAGGTTGCAATGTCCACGCAGTTTCTCACCAGGGCATGGCGGTTTTTGTCTCCCACTTCAGGCTGTCCCAGGTAGCGGAGATGCCAGGGTGCGCCCGCCCTATCCATAGAGCGCCGGGCCCTGAGGACAAACGGACTGGCCTGCTGGCCTTTGAGGAGGAACACCATCTCGTGGTCCAGGAAAGTCTCGGGTTCCATGTTGTCACACAAACCACGAAGGCGATGGATAAGGCTTTCCAAGCTGTGATCTAAAACACTTCCTTAAGAAGGAAAAAGCACTACTGAGTCCCATCTTTCATTTTGGGCAATGGAATTAGTAAAAGATTAAAAAAACATAAATGAAACAGTTTAGTGCAGTGTTTTGTGAAGCATAGGCCTAATGTATAAGATTTTATAAGGATCATGCTGTTAAGGTATTGCATAACATAAAAAAAAGTTAATCCCTTGTCAGTGTTTGGCCTTGTCTTGTTGGGTACTAGATAGTCTTCAGGCCTTCTCTGACATTGCTAATCGCCAGCAGGCTTGGGGCACAAAATCTCTGTCTCCTGATCTAGAGGATGGAGCTGATAACAGTATCATAGAATTACCATATAATCAACTAAGCTCACTTCTAGGTATATATCCAAAAGAATTCATAGCAGGATCTTGATGAGGTATTTGCATATCCATGTTGACTGCAGCATCATTCACAATAACCAAGAAGTGGAAACATCCCAAATGTACACCAACAAATGAATGGATAAAAAAAATGTGGTATGTACATAAAATCATTCAGCCTTAAATAAGGAGATCCTGTCATATATTACCATATGGATGAACCTCTATTACATTATATTAAGTGAAATAAGCCAGTCAAAAAAAGGCAAAAACTGTATGATTCCACTCATCTACGGTATCTATCTAAAGTGTCAAAATCAGCCGGGACCGGTTTGGCTCAATGGATAGAGCGTCGGCTTGGGGACTGAAGGGTCCCGGGTTCGATTCCGATCAAAGGCATGTACCTTGGTTGCGGGCATATCTCAAGTAGGGGGTGTGCAAGAGGCAGCTGATCGATGACTCTCTCTCATCGATGTTTCTAACTCTCTATCTCTCTCCCTTCCTCTCTGTACAAAATCAATAAAATATAAATAAATAAATAAATAAATAAATAAATAAATAAATAAAGTGTCAAAATCAGAAACAGAAAGTAGAGAGGTTGTCCTGGGGTAAGGACAAAGGGAAATGAGCGTTTAATGGGTAATAGTTTCAGTTTTGCAAGATGAAAAAGGTCTAGAGGTCAGCTGTACAATGTGAATATACTTAACACTATTTAAAAGTGTTTATGATGGGCTGAAACCGGTTTGGCTCAGTGGCTAGAGCGTCGGTCTGCGGACTGAAGGGTCCCGGGTTCGATTCTGGTCAAGGGCATGTACCTTAGTTGCGGGCACATCCCCGGTGGGGTGTGTGCAAGAGGCAGCTGATCGATGATTCTCTCTCATCGATGTTTCTAGCTCTCTATCCCTCTCTCTTCCTCTCTGTAAAAAAAACAATAAAAAAATATTCTTAAAAAAGTGTTTATGATGGTAAACTTAATTTTATGTGTTTGTGACCATAATTAAAGAGTAAAAAATAATTTGTCTATTGGGATGCAGACACTATGCAGGCTGCCTCTGTAAAGCTGAATAGAAGAGGGGGGAACTGGTCATCCAAGCTCCCTGGTTCACTTACCCTGCAGCAGGTACTCCATCATGTTAATGGTGCCCCCGGTGACAGGCATCATCGTGACGGGGGGTGCCTCCATGGTGTCTGACTCAGGTGAAGAACTTAGACTGGATTTGGTTTCCCCAATCAAGTAAAGCACAGGATACACCTGGAGAAGAGTTACACTTGTTAACACATCAGAGATATGGAGGCACCAGATGTGCTTATGTCATTGACCTTGACATTAAAAAAAAAAAAAAAAAAGGATTCATCATCCATTTAGAACTTTTTGAGTAACTGCTACAGGCCAGCTGTAGGAACTGGCGATACAGAAATATACCAAGGAGACCTGTTCCTGGAGCCACAGCATAATGTTCTAGTCTCAATCTTCTGTGTCATCTTAAGGAAGTCATCAAACCTCTCCCTCAATGTCTTCCTTATAAAATGGGGCCAACGATATTTAAAACCCCCCCAGGCTTTGTTGCTCAGGTAGCATAGTGAGCATGCAATCACATTCGGAAGAACTGAATGGGGACACATAAGGGACTTGTTCAACTTACAGGTGAGGCTACTGAGAGTCAGAGGGAACGAGGGCACACAGAACTCGGTGGCACTGGCTGGACTCGAGGACAATCCAGGCCTCCCGCCACTCTGAAAACACCCTTTCGGGCGAGCCGGGCGGAAGCGTGTGGTCCCTGCAGAAAGGGCTAGGAGCTCCGAGCCCGGCGCCGTGTCCGCGGACGCCGCCTCCCGCACAGCGAGGAGCTAAACCCGCCCAAGTATCTCGGAGCTTCCGAGACACAACTCGCCGCAGCCCTAAAGTTAAAGCCCCCTGTGCAGGGCAACACTTCCTCCTCCTAGTTCTGCTTCCGCCCCAAAGCCGACGCCGCGCCGACCTACGCACGGCGTCCCGAGACGTAAGGGTGCCGAGAGGGCTTAAAAGTCGCTCTTCCGCCCGCCCGCCCGGCCGGCAAGCGGAAGCGCATGCGCGAAATTCGATGCCGCAGGAAAGATGGCGGCCTCCTTTGAAGCGTAACGCCTGTGGGGCGGGAGGGGGCGGGATGGCGTCATAGACTCGCCTCCCGGAAAATATTTATTCTCCCCCTCTTCCCCCCCCCACGGAGATGTTTTGTCTAGGAAATCTCTTGGAGCTGATGGGGAAAAGAGAGCCTGGGGCAGGGAGCGGCACACAAAGGAGAAGACTTAAAATACTTCTTGTTGGGCGAAGGTGAAAATTAAAGACCCCCTGAACTGCTTAGCGTAATGGTATGAACAGTTAGGGAGCTCCGCAATATACGTAATATTTGTGTGGCTGTGTGTTTTAGGAACGCAGGGAGGTAAGTAAATTCAGGGAATGTTTATTGAAGGACGTTTCTCTGTAAAGGGGGCGCTAGAGTTCGGTGAATGAGGCACTCTCCTACATAGAACACTGTAAGGGGACACCAGGAATCTCAGTAACCAGGAGAAATAATATTTTAATGCAATGTCTTGCTGATTTAATACAAAAGAATCCTTAATAAACAAAAATATCAAAGATTTAAAATTGATCTTCACAGCAGCCTGATGAGCCACGCGTAGTTATGACTATCATTTTACAGATGGGGAAACTTAGGCAAGAGAGAGAATTGACTAGCATGCAGGGAGTGGAGGGCCAGGGATACAGGTAGAAGCTGATGACTTCAGAGCCCACCTTTTATTAGGAATTATACAATCTGCCATTTCTAGCCCTGACCAGTGTAGCTCAGTTGATTGGATCAGTAAGGGGTGTGCAGGAAGCAGCCCATCATGTTTCCCTCTCACATCCATGTTTCCCTTTTTCTCTCTCTAAAAATCAATTTTAGCCGAGACCGGTTTGGCTCAATGGATAGAGCGTCGGCTTGGGGACTGAAGGGTCCCGGGTTCGATTCCGGTCAAGGGCATGTACCTTGGTTGCGGGCATATCCCCGGTAGGGGGTGTGCAAGAGGCAGCTGATTGATGACTCTCTCATCGATGTTTCTAACTCTATCTCTCTCCCTTCCTCTCTGTACAAAATCAATAAAATATATATTAAAAAAAAAAATCAATTTTAAAAAATCTTTAAAAACAATAACAACAACAAAACCCTGCCACTTCTAGTTCTAGTTCCCCCACTGTGACCTGTACTACTTTTCATTGGTGTGTTTTTAAAATTATTTTTATTGATTTCAGAGAGGAAGAGAGAGAGATAGAAACATCAATGATGAGAGAGAATGATGGATCAGCCGCCTCCTGAATGCCTCACACTGGGGATTGAGCCCACAACCCGGGCATGTGCCCTAGACTGGGAATCAAACCATGACCTCCTGGTTCATAAGTCGAAGCTCAACCACTGAGCCACAGTGGCTGGCTCGTTTGTGTGTGTGTGTGTGTGTGTGTGTGTGTGTGTGTTTAATTGAATATTTCTTAAAAGTCTAGTGTGCTTTAGCTATTGACTTCATCTCTGCCTTCAAAAGAGTTTATTAAACGAAGACAGTACCATGTGATTGATTCAATGGGACATAAACAGTTCAACTGTTTCAGAAGCAACGAGGACTCTCAATTCATCGTGGGGGCACTTCTGTTCTCTACCACTTCCCAGTAAAAGTAATTAATGCCCAAAGTAACTTCAAGGAACAATAGTGTCAGCCAGATCAAGGAGGAAAGGGACTTCCAGGTAATGGGAACAACATTTACAAAGGTAATTGAATTAAGTAAAATTAGGACATAGAATTTGAGGTTGGGAGGGGTATGAAATGTCTGGAGAAGGGATCAGGTCCAGATCCTGGAGGACTTTACATGTCAGATTAAAGCAGAGATGTGAACTTTAAAAGGATCACTCTGGCACTCCCTTGGAACGTTCAGTTGGTTGAGCATCGTCCTGTGCAAGGAAAGGTTGCCCATTTGATTCCCCATCAGAGCAGGTTCCATCCCCCAAGTGGCAGTGTCCAGCCAGAGCCGGGGCCAGCCAGGAGAGAGAGAGCTGGGCTAGAGGTAGAGATTTCATAGAGCTTCATAAATGGTAGCTGAAGGCATGAGAATAAATGAGATTATCCTGAAAAAAAGTGCAGAATAGGAAGAAAAGATGGCTGAGAGCTGGGCTTTGCAAAACTCTGATAGTTATTAGAGCTGCATATACCCCAGGGCTCAGGATATGCCCACTGGTCAGTTTGGTGATTCACAATATTGGGCAGACTAACAAGCTCTCAGTGCAGTAATTAGTGGTTAGAGGAAGCTCTAAAATTGCTGGACTCTCTTTTCCTATTCAGACACTAACTAGAGAGTGGAAAACTCGGTGAATTATAGGTCTTTAGAGGCATCATAGTATTATTCAAATTTTAGCTGGCCTTATGAAGTAGGGTTAAGTTTTTTAAAAAGGTAAGAAATGGGTGAACAATATAGTAAAATTCGGACAAGATCTATAAGGATGTGAGGTCTGGAGCTTAGAATGGGCTCACTTCTGTTCTCTACCACTACCCAGCTGTGCAGCCTTGGGCAATTCACTTCCCCTCTCTGAGTCTCAGCTTCCTTTTTTGTAAAATAGAGATTTTAAAAACTTTCTAAGGCGGAGGTTGCAAAAATGAGATGTTTATGAAACACTTAGCATAGTGTCTGGCTTATTGGGAGCAATAAATAAATGGTAGCTATCCTATATGATAAAAGGCTAATATGCAAATCGAATGTCGGAATGACCGGTTGCTTTGATGTGCACTGACCACATGGGGGCAGATGCTCAATGCAAGAGCTGCCCCCTGGTGATCAGTGCGCTCCCACAGGGGGAGCACCGCTCAGCCAGAAGCCAGGCTCACTGCTGGCAAGCGCAGACTCCCAGCCAGCCTAAGCCGTAAGGAGGACATGCCTTGAGGGCTCCTGGACTGCAAGAGGGTGCAGGCTGGACTGAGGGATCCCTCCCCTGGGTGCACAAGTTTCGTGCACCAGGCCTCTGGTTATTATAATACTAGAGGCCTGGTGCACAAATCTGTACATGGGTGGAGTCCTGCTGGCTTGGCCCCGATTGGGGCAGATCAGGGCCAGGCCTGTTGGGAGGAGGATACAGTGGGAGGTTGGCTGGCCAGACTTCCCCAAACAGGAACCAATCAGGACCAGGCCGGCTGGGAGGAGTGGCTGAGGGTAATTGGCTGGTGGACCCTGCCCCCAATTGGTGTGGGGAGGGCCTGTCAGGGATGAAGCTGTCTGGGGATGAGTATTGGCCAATTGAGGTGGGATTTGATTGGGGGTGTCTTTCAGCCTGACCTAAGGCACACATACATAGTTCCTTCATCAGCTTTCTAGAATAGCCTTATGGGTAATAAGATCTACCCCTATTGTTATGCACAACTAGAGGCCCGATGCATGAAATTCATGTACGGAGGGGGGGGTGTCTTTCAGCTCAACCTGCATCCTCTCTAATCCAAGAGCCCTCAGGGAATGTCCTACTGACAGCTTAGGCCCGCTCCCCATGGTTCTCTGCCCTCTGCAGGGCCTGCCTGCTCCACACCATGGCAATGGCAAGTGGGCCCTGCTGGGTGCTTCTGTGGGCCCATTTGCCTGCTCGCAGGTCACCATGGCTTTGGCCAAATAGGCCCTCCTGTCTGCTGTCAAGCTGCATGGCTGCCCTCACCTCCTGTGGCTGGCAATGGTTCTGGGAACCTGTGGGCTTAGTGTCCATCCCTGAACCCCAGGACGCTTGACGCTGTCCTGCCCCCATCACTTGGCGCCTGCATATGCAAATTAACCCGCCATCTTTGTTGGGTTAATTTGCATACTCCTGATTGGCTGGTGGTCATCATGGAGGTGCAGTCAATTTGCATCTTTCTATTTTATTGGTGTAGATGCTAGGCTCTCAACTTTAGTGTTGCAAACTAATATTTCCCCAGGAATGAGGTGACATTTATTGAGTGCTTCCTATATGCATAGCCCTATGTGAAGGTATATAATAACTTGCTTTTCAACGTAATTTATCTCCAGCAATCCTCCACTCAGAATTCTCATTATGCCTACATGATCTGCCCCCATCACCTGTTTTCTCTTTGACCATATTCCAACCATCCCCATCTGTGCTTACTTACTCCCTACCCACTCACCTCTAGCCACTCTGGTCTCAT